CTGGTAGTGTAGAACCCTTCAGGAAACTGCTGAGAAGCGTCGAAGACGGAAAGGTAGACGCACAAGCAGCAGGGGACAGGGTGATTGAAGGATGGGAGTCCATAGTGAACACAACGGCAGAGAGAGTAGTGGGAAAGAAGGTGGTACGATGTGGGGTATCGGTTAAGTGGTGGGATGACGAGCTGAAAGAAGAAATAGGGGAACGTAGAGAAGTCTTCAAGCAGTACCTGGGTGAGGGGTCTGAAGAGAGTTGGGAAAAGTACAGGGCCAAGAGGAAACAGGTGAAGGGACTAGTGAAAACGAAGAAAAAGAGCATTTGGGACGAAGTAGTGCAGAAGGCCAACGGAGGCCTGGAGGGGAACGTCAAGCAGATGTGGGAAGGGATTAGTGGGATGGTAAAAAAGACCGCGCAAGGGGGGGATACAGGGGTAGCAACATTGCGAGGTGTGAACGGTGGACTAGTCAGCAGTGGGAAGGGAAAAAGGGAAGTTCTAGCAGGACACTACAAGAGACTTGGAGTGCCTTCGGAGAATGAAGATTTTGACCAAGTGTTTAAGAAGGAGGTGGACGCATGGGCCCAGAAAGAAGAAGAGACATCGAAGGCAGACGTTGGGAACGTAGAACTAGAAAAGGAGTTCACTGAGGACGAGGTTGAGGCGTGTGTGAACAAGCTGCAGTGCCACAAAGCAGCAGGGGCGGATGGGATAGTAAACGAGTTCATGAAGTTTGGGGGGAAGGGGATGATCCAGCTGATGGTACTGTTGTACAACTGGGTGTGGAAAAACGAGTATGCGCCAAGTAGATGGAGGGAAGGAGTGGTTGTGAACCTGTTTAAGAAAGGAGACAAGACTGACCCAGGAAACTACAGGGGTATCACACTGTTGAACACAGTAGGAAAAGTGTTTTGTAAACTGCTGAACGATAGGATAGTGGGAGTACTGGAGAAGAAACGTAGCATTAGTGAGGGCCAGGCAGGTTTCCGACAGAAGAGGGGGTGCGTAGACCACGCATTCACGGTAGGGAGAATCATCCAAGGTAGAAAGAGGGCGGGAAAGCCGACGTACTGCTTCTTCCTGGACGTGAAAAAGGCATACGATACCGTATGGAGAAATGGGCTGTGGAAACAATTGTCCAAGTACGGGATCAAGGGGAGAATGTGGAGGGTGCTGAAGAAGATGACAGAGTGTACGAAAAGCGCGGTCATGCTAGACGGAGAACTGTCTAAATTCTTCGACATTGAGCAAGGGGTCCCACAAGGCTGCACGCTGTCCCCAACATTGTTCCAGGTGTTCATCAACGATCTGTTGGAAGTCGTAGAGGCAGTCCGGAAGGGAGTAAAAGTAGGGGACACGGAAACTTCGGTGTCAGGAATGCTGTTTGCGGATGACTTTGTTGGTATGTCGGACACCCCTGAGGGACTGCAACTGCAAATTGACGCGGCGAAGAAGTTTACTGATAAGTGGAGATTGTCTGCCAACGTTGCGAAGAGTGCCGTCATGGTATGCAACGAGGGCAGGAAGGAACCAGTAGAACATAGATGGAAGTGGGGGATCGAGGAGATTGCAGTAGTGGACCAGTACACATACCTCGGAGTAGAGATCGCAAAAGATTGCTCGTGGAATGCACACATGTCCAAGGTAGCGGAAAAGGGCAAAGCACGAGCAGGGAAGCTGCACCCAATACTCGCAAACCGGCACCTTGATACACGCATCAAATTGACGGTTTTGAAGAGCGTAATCGTACCGCCGCTAGAGTACGCCGGAGAAGTATGGGAAGGAAATAAGAAGGTAGTGAAAGAACTCGAGGCGGCGCAGATGAAAGCAGCGAAAATCATCCTAGGATGCTCCAAGCGCACAAGTAATGCAGCAGTCAGGGCAGAATTGGGGATCCAATCCCTACGGTCGGGAAGAGACGTAAGGAAGCTGACATGGCAGTATCGCATGTGCGGGATGGGAGAGGAGAGGTTGCCGAGAATAGTATGGGAGGCGAAGTGGGCAAACAAAATGAGGGGTAGACAACCCACGGAATGGGTCAAGGTTGTAGAGGACGTGTATGGAAGGGATTGGACATCGACGAAGATGAAACGCTTGAAACGGAGGGTCTACAGGGGTTCAAGAAGAAGATATCTGTTGCTTGTGCCGACAGAGAAGAACAGAATCTAAGGAAAGAATCCAAGGATAAGGAGGGTCTAGAAGTGTACGGAATGTTGAAAGAAGGAATAGGGTTCAAGGATTACCTACATGGACCAATGGATTCAGGGACAAAGCTTAAGGTCAAATTCAGGACCGGGGACATAGGCCTTCGAGAACGTCGACGAAGACATAGGACGGTAGACGACAAGTTCAAATGTGATTGCGGCTTCGAATGCGAAGACAGTGTTCATGTAGTCGCGGAATGTCCGTGGTACGAAAAGGAGAGGGAAGTGTACATGACTGAGCTGGGAAAAATACAAGGGACGTACAGGGAGATGTTTGAGGCATGGAATAGGGAGGAGAGGACGGTAGCGGTACTGGGGAGTAGAAAGTGGTTTGAAAAGGCGGGAAGGGACATCGGTAGGATAGACAAACTAGGGAAGACATTTTTGAGCCACCTTTGGCAAAGTAGGAAGGAACGATTGGCCATCGGTGATCGGTCCTGTGGGAACACAATGCTCCGTCCTCTCGAGGACGCGTGGTCAATGGTCTAACCGCTAAGGCATGCAAAACATAAGAGTACGCCCCCCCCCCCCCCCCCCCCCC